CTGTCTGGACAGGTCACCGTGTCACCCTGAGACAGCCCCTGCACACCCTCATGGACTCAGGGCACAGGCACACTTGTCCCTCATGTCACCCACTAGACCAATGCTGGACCAATGCTCTCTGTCCCTCACGCTGGCCTGCTGAGCTAAGTTAGCCAACGGACGCTGTGGCTTGGATCCCGTCCAGATCTGGACAAAACGATGAGAAGAGAAAGGCGTTCTCAAGAGAACCGGCACTCGCCAACAGCCGTGTTTTCAGAAACGACTTTTTAGGAAAAACCCACCCTCCACCTGGGTCACACCCGTGTGCATGTAAAATAGGAAGAGAAAACACCCAGTCACAGTGCTTACTGGGAAAAGCTGCTGCCGAGCCCACAAGGAGGCAGCGCACTTCCTGTCGTTGCCTGGCCGCCTGACTAACACAAGACCTAACCCCCAGGAAGGGAAATGAGCGTGGATTCCCGTACATGACACAAGCAACGCCCGCTGGGCTCTGACAACATGGTACAGCCCCACTGAGCTACAGCTATTTATGACCCTTGAAAGACCAAATGTTACAGTGCCTGCCAAGACCTGACCCCACGCTGGAGGTTGGGCTGCACCTGGCAGCCTTGGAAACAGCCCATGGGAGGTTGTCAGATTACATGTTTACAAGCGGATTCTCGACCAAAATATTTTCATCCCATGCTGGTTTAGATCTGCTTTCCAGCACACAAAGAATTAACCAAGACATTCATCCCTGGACTGCTAAACTCAAGGCTGGCAGTTCGAAACCACCAGCCAGCCACTCCTTGGCACCCTCTACAAGGTCACTCACTATGAGCTGGAACACAGACCCTACTGTTGCTTTGCTTCTAAATAGCCTCTCTCCCCCCACCATGCATTCTACAGGTATAAAGAATGCTGTGGAGTGACACTGTACGATAAGCACTGGACGTCTACCCACAAGGTCAGCGGTTCAAACCCACTATCCACTCGTCAGAAATCCTACACAGGGTTGCTGAGTTGGAACCGACTTGACGGCACCTGACTGACAACAGCGCCACCACTAGTGTGTAAGGAGAACAGGCCTCCCTCAGAAAGTTCAGAGAAGCCATTTCTAGAATCAGCATGGTTCTCCCTCTGAGTGAAAACAACCCCCAGGTGTAATAGGAGCATGCTTACCTTCTACTACAACAGAAAAATCTAGACACCTGTCTGCTTCCCTCTTAGGACTCAGAGATGTTGGAAGCCCCTGCCCCTGCCCCTGACACACACACACACACACACACACACACACACACACACACACACGAGATGTGTTTTGCAGCAATACTTCTCTGCACTTCAGGCAGTACTGCCTTGCCTGGCTGGCCAGCTCAGCATTAGGAACTAATATCTCCCCAACACGCTTCCTACTAGGGTCTCAGCCACTTCAAAGTCACCTGACCACCTCCACCCACCTGGATGGCCCGTTCTAACTTGGTCTTAGTCATTCAGGTCAGAAAACCATCACACCGTCATCACTCTCCCCTACCCCCCTGTACCCGGGTTCTAATGCAGCCCTGCTTTTCGATTTCTGCTGCCACATCTTGCTCTGAATGGTATGGGAACCTCAGCATTCAGCTCCCTGGCTCCTCTCTGACTTAGTGCCCCAGGCAGGCAGTGTGCCAGTTGTGCAGGCTCTCAGGGCTGCCTCTGGTCCAGGATGCTGGCTCTCCCGCCTTGAACATGCGCTCCTCCCTGCATTACTCCTCTAGCCTCCTCCTAGGCCTCCTTTGGAACACAGCCCTGGGGAGCTTTCCTGACTTCAGGAGTCCCTGCCAGGTGCTGTGCTGTGCCGACCTTCTTACACCAAACACTACTCTGTTGCTGTGTGCCATGGAGTCAGGTTCTGACTGACAGCGACCTTCTATAGGGTTTCCGAGGAGCAGTTGATAGGTTTAAACTACCGACCTTATGGTTCACAGTCCAGTGCTGATCCTACAGTGCCACGCCAGGAGTCCTACCACAGCATAACAGTGCTCTATACTGAGGAGCCCTGGTGGCATAGTGGATTAAGCAATGGGCTGCTCCTCACAAGGTCATCGCTTCAAAACCACCAGTCACTCCATGGGAGAAAGGCAAAGATGTCTGCTCTTGTACAGATGACAGCTGTGGGAACCCGAGGAGGCCGTTCACTTTTGTCCAATAGGGTGGTTGGGAGTAGGCGTCAACCGGACAGCAATGGTCAAATGCGTTGAATAAATGAATGAACTTAGCAGCTCACAATGATAGGAAAGAAAAAGTCAGACGCTGGAGAGGAATCAACAGTATTTCAAGACCCTTAAGTAGAAGTAATTTCAAGTAGGGTTTGCTCTCTGGCCACCTCTATGCCGAAAAGGAAACCGCTACAGACAAAGAAGCGGTCCCTCTCATCAGAACTCTCCCTAACCCTCCAAAGGTTGAGTCAGACTGACAAAGTCAAACCTAAAATAATGTAGCTCATGACTACACAGAACGATTATCAATGACTGTAAGAGTTACAAGAAACCACATCATTCAGGGAATGAGGAATTGGGAGGTGCAAATGAACAATGGCAGCCACCAGAGGGTGAGTGGTCACCACAGAACATGAATAACCTCAAACACAAAGAATCAGAGAATACTGTAAACTGAATCAGGCAAAGAGAACGTCAGAAACCTACAGTCTTACTCAATCAATGCCAGACAAAGCAGTCGCCCGCTGCCCTAACCCATAAGCTTTAGACTTCATGTCTCAGAAATTAAGTTTCTGGTTTAACTGCTGATGCAGAAAACCAGCTATGATCTCTCCATTTAAATCAAGAAGACCTCTGGAGCCCCACCAACTGCACTCAGGGGGCTACTATTTATAAAACTGACTTTGAGAAGTTGATTTGGACTAGTCTCCCCCAACACACAACAATGCAACCCCCCCAAAAAAAAAAATCCAAGAGAAATGCCCTTTCTGAAAGAATTTGTGGAGACTGTTCCAACATCTGTCATGAATGAATTCCAACGTTAAACAATGACTAATAAGGTACGTATCACATAGTTTAAACATAAAGGGAAATGACAAAATCACCTAAAACGTCCTTTTTTAGAACTGAACCTTTTTCAAAACTTGATTCCAAATGTCTCAGTGGTTTGATGCCAGAACACAGAAGTCATGCAGCTGGTGACCACTGTAATTTACTCTCCGTCACTCAGATGCACCAGATTTCAGAAAGGAGAGCGGTAACTCTCTTACATCCCTCCCCCGCCCCCCCCCCCCACCGGGTTCACCCGTGCGAAACTTAAAAGCCATTCTGAGAGGCTTCTAAGAGCCACCGGCTCCCCCCGCCCCCGATTTTATCAACTTAAAAGTTCCCCTAAATCAGACAAGTTTTGGCTGGAACTCTTTCGCCATAACCCACAAAGCGAGCTCAGTCTATACCTAGAATAGGCACACGTGACTATTCTGAAGGTCAGGAGGTCAAGCCTCACCCAAGCAGCACACTGCAAAAACCTAAACCTCAGCTAAAGGATGCAGACCGAAGACTAATTTTTTTGTTTTGATCAAGTGTCTCTCTAATAAGAAAACCATTTACACACAGGTGATTTCCCCCCTCCCGTTAATATTAAGAATAGCAGCAGGGCATACCAGCAGCCTGCTGAGATACACTGCTGGTCTCTTCATGTCTAAAGCCGAGAGAAGGAAAACAAAGACTCAAGGAAACAACTCCTCGTCTGAGGACTAACGGAGCACACAAACCTCAGCCTTCACTAGCCTTAGACTAGGACTAGACAATGCGCGCTGCCACAATGATTGCTCAGAGCCGGATCACAATAGAAACTTGAACACAGTGAGTGGAAAATGGAGCACAAAATTCAGTATCATAAAATGAGCAGAAGCGTAGTGGTTACGAATCGGGCTGCGAACCTTAAGGTCAGCGGTTCGAAACTACCAGCCGCTCCGCGGGAGAAAGATGAGGGCTTTCTACTCCCGTAAGGATTTACACCCTCGGAAACCCTGTACAGGGTCGCTATGGGTCGGAACCGACTCGACGGCACTTAACAACAACAACAACAATGGTCTGCTAGAAACTAGGGTTACCTCCTCCCCCAAGAATAGGGCCCTTAGTCACCCTACAAACCTGAATCTGAACCCACCCGAGATCAACAACAGGCAGGTCTACAAGGTGAATGATAATCCCACGAGACCAGAAGGGCAGCATTTGCACAAAACCAAAGTTCAAAAAGCCAAAAGGGGCAGGAGAGACAGGCAAACTTCCATTCAGGGGGCCCAGGGAGGAAGCAGGACAAGCGCTGTTATACTGGGCGGGGGGATTGCAAGGAATGTCACGAAACAAAATGTGTATCAACTGTTGGGTGGAACTTGGTCTGTTAACTTTCACTCAAACCCAAGAAAATGTTCAAAAACAAAAGAAAAGGAGCAGACCTCTTAGTTCAACATGTTCTCAGCAAATGTTTACTTTTAAGAGACCACTGCTTGAGCAAATTGCTTCAAAGGCTACTTCACATTTACATAACACGCTCGGGTACTTTTCCAGAACACAGGCCCCTTTGAAAAGTACTAGAAAAGCTTTGAGAGGTTCCTCTTCCCAGGCCTGAATTCCTGAAACAGGATTGCTTCATGGCCCGGCTGCCAGGATGTGAGAAATACGGCAGATTCCCCATTTCTGTCTGAATCACGCCCAAGTCACCCCAGGGCCCAGAGCGATTTCTTCACGAGACCCCTGGGAACGCAAACCGAGAGCAGACCCTGCAACGCCTACACACGGGGATTCCAGGTCAAGACCCGAACTTGTAAACACTGCCCCTCTTTTCAAGGGGACGCGGGCGCGGCGCGAGGAGGCTCGGTGGCCGCGCGCGGGGGGCAGGGGAGACGGGCCGCCCACCCGCTCTCAGGAAGGCCGACGGCAAGGCACAGAGACGGGGGCCCTCGGGAGCGGAGCCCCGGGGCCGGGGGGCCGGGACCCAGGCCGTGGCGGCCGCGCCCTCTGCCCGGCCGCCCCTCTCACCTCCTGCGCCGGCGGTCCCGGTTCCGGCCGAAACGGTCGGACAGGCGGCCCAGGAGCGCGACGAGCCCGGGGCGGCCCGGCAGAAGGCCCAGCAGCCGCCTCCAAAACACCGGCGCCGCCGCCGCCATGGAGACTCGCCGCTTCCGCTTCCGGCTTGCACAAACTTTATTGACAACGGAGCACATGGACACCGCGGCCGTGCGCGTGCGCGGGAGCCAGACCGAGTGGCAGGGTTTGGGGGTGTGGCGTGCAGGGGGCGGGCGTGCGGAGTGTCGGAGTGTCAGTTTCCTCTGTAGAGTAGGGTGGTGAGGTGGTTGTCGCGCCAAGGAGGACGTTATGGCCTTGTAGGCTGCAGGGAGGTGTGTTCAGGTGTGGCCTTACACCTGCACGCGTTACAGGTCACAGGAAAGGGTGCAGTGAGAAACCAAAAGCACCTTACTTTGTCCTCCTACTCAGTAGTGATGAGTAGTGGGGACCACTTTTCCAGGCTCGACTTCATCGGGTGAGACACACACACACACACCCCCACACACACACCTAAGGTGTTAGTTAGGTTTGTACAAAACTGGGTTCACGCCTGAGTCACTGAGTTGCGCTGAGCCATTGAAAATCCCCACCAAACTCAGGGGAACCAATTTTCACCTTGTCAGCCCCAGCACCTGCGACTGGCAGGGTGCCCTCCACAGAACCCTGTGAAATGAGGGAGGCGCCCTCAATTCCGGATGCCCAGATACACCAGCTGTCACTGGCCCCAAGGAATGCACAGTTTTGTCATCAAATAGACAACTACGCTGAAGAAGCTCACTTCTGTTAGCAAATTTTCAAAAGGAAAACAACGCAGTGCTCTGAGACTCAGGACAGCTATTGGTTCTGATAGTTAACAGTATGTGGCTCCTAGGCTGGACCCCAGAAACTGGAACCTGACATCTGGAAAAGCTGGAAAGGAGACAATTGTGTCCTTTGTATCTCAGGGGAGTGTTGGGAGGTTAGTATGCTCTATGGACACACTCTGCACACAACAAGTTTAGCTTTTCACTGGACTGATTTATCCCCAGGAAATGAATTACAAACTCTCTAGAAGACTGTGCATCTCAGCAGTGTTGTTAATATAAAAATAAAATAAAATAAAAATGTGGAAGCAGTCAATAGTGGGAGAATTGGTTAAATAATGGAGCATCCGGGACGTCCAGAAAAATGACTTTGCATAAGAATGTTTAATGACATACTAGGTTTAAAAAAAAAAAAGCCAACTACCAAAGGGTAGAATCGTTTGGAGCTTTTCTCATTTTATTAAAAATTGGAAAGAAAGAGTGTGTGTGTATAGACTAAAAAGTAAATACACCCAAATGTTAACATTGTTTATTTGGTCTATATCAAGATTTCCAGATTGTTTACAACCAATGAGTATTTCAGACTGAGTTCAAGTTTTAAATTATTTTAAGGTTAAGGAGATTTACAGATACAAAGTGGCACTGTATTCATTTCCACCCTTCCAAGTTAGAAATGGTGAGTCATCAGATTTCCTAACTTCCAGTAACTAGAGTGAGACCACCCACTTCAAGGTCCCACTTTACAAAATACCACTCCACCATGACTTCACTTGTGAGGACTGTGTGGGCCAGAGGAGCACTCTGGTCATCATGAAAATACCTCGAAGCTTGGGTAAGCATACTGTGTTTTGCTGTGTGAGGCATTAAATGAGATACAAGTCAAAGCACTGGGAATTTCCAATCTTCCATTAAGTGATAATAACAGGTATTGCGAGTATTTGTGTTAAGCATGAAGGACTCCTGGTAGGGCAAGGGTTAAGCACTGGGCTTGCTAACTGTGGTCCAAACTCACCAGCTGCTCCCAAGGAGACAGATGTGGCATTCTGCTCTCATCAAGATTTACATCCTTGGAAGGCCTTGGAAGGCCAGTTCTGCTCTGCTCTTGAGGGTCCCTGTGAGTCCGAATTTGTTTTGTTAAACATAAACAGAAGGGATACCACACACCAAGCTTCTGGCCTTCATGGCTCACTTGAAGTAGATCCAGAACCAGAGTGAGGCAACTTGGGCTCGGCCCTAGGTCACATACATTTGTTGTTGTCATTTAAGTGCTGTCCCACCCATAGCGACCCATAGGGTTTCCTAGGAGCAGCTGGTGAGCTTGAACTGCCGACCTTGCAGTTCAAGCTAACCAGCTTTTGTGGTCTGACGCATTAACCCACAGCGCCACGCCAGGACTCCATTTAGAGCTACAAAAAACAGTAAATCATTTTCAGTGCGGGAGCACCATTTTCACTGGATGCAAGGACACGACAGGAAGGCTCATCTGCCACAGTTAGTGAAGAGGATGAGGAGGTAGCTCAGGTTAGCCCTGGTGCTTGGAGAGCTACCAGACACAGACTCCACTCCTGCTGTTGGAACTCGTGGGTCCCCACCTGGATGACCTGGATGACCCTGAACCAGAATGCCCTAACACACCTCCTGCCTTCTCGTTTGTCCCATTCACTCCTTCCCAAACCGGAAGTACCAGGGTTAGAAAGATAGGGTCGATGAGTCTGATGACAGACATCATGTCTTCCCAAACGGAAAAGGAAAGCCATTCATTGGGAGCCCAGTTGACGTCAGAGCACAGTGGACCCTGGCCCCAGATAACAGGCTGCTCTGAAGCAGGAAATACCAGGAAATCCTGAGCCAAGGGCCCAGGCCTCATCCTCTGTGATTCACCCCCTGAGGGGAAACCATGCCAATGCAAGCGGAAGGCCCCTCTTCTCCAGGCTGTCCGCAGATTCAAGAGGGACAAAGAGGCCGGCCATCCCACCTCTGCCTCCAGAGAGGAGAGACTCTGATTTCGATTCTACATGGACACTTGTCAGCATGTCCTTAGATCCACACTCTTGCTTTACAGGGAATGGAGCCCACTGTTAGGGATTGCACTGGGTCCCCCCAAAATATGTGACTTTGTAGGATAAGTACTGGACTGCTAACCACAAGGTCAGCGATCCAAGTCCACCATCCACTCAGAAAGCCAAGACTTTCTGCTCGTGCAGAGATTTATGGCCTTGGAAGCCCTGTCCAGGGCTGCTTTGAGTCGGAAATGACTCCAGGCTACACAACAACAAGATATGTATTGAAACCCTAACTCCTATTAACAGTGGATGTGGTCCTGTTTGGAATTGGCATTTTCTTTGTTATGCGAGTAAGAGTTTACCAGAATAGGGTGGATCTTAAAGCGGATCATTTCTGAGTTATAAAAAGAGTAAAATAAACACACATGGGGAAAACAAATGCTGGGGAACACCAAAGAGCACCGTAGATTTAGAGTTGTTGTTAAATGCCTTGGAGTGGGTTCTGACTCACAGTGACCCCCTTACAGGGTTTCCAGAGAGACGCACTGCTAGGCTTGACCTGCCGACCTTGCAGTTAGCAGTCCAATGCTTATCCCTTTGTTTTAGGAGAAGCTGGTGGGTTTGAACCACTGACCTTGGGTTTAGCAGTCAGTGCTTATCCTACAGAGCTACACCAGGGCTCCATTTGCTTTAGAGTTGTTGTTAGGTGCCATCAAGTTGGTACCGACTCATAGTAACCCTATGCACAGCAGAACGAAACACTGCCCGATCCTGAGCCAACCTCACTATAGTTGCCACACTTGAGTTCATTGATGCGGCCACTTACTTGGCCAATCCATCTCGTTGGGGGTCTTCCTCTTTTTCTCTGACCCTCTACCTTACCAAACATGATATCCTTCTCCAGTGACTGGTCCCTCCTGACACTATATCCAAAGTATGAGAGACGAAATTTGGCCATCCTGGCCTCCAAGGAGCACTCTGGCTGCACTTCTTCCAAAACAGATTTATTGGTTCTTTTGGCAGCCCATGGCACTTTCAGTATTCTCCTCCAACACCATAACTCAAAGGCATCAATTTTTCTATGGTCTTCCTTATTTACTGTCCAGCTTTTGCATACATATGAGGTTATTGAAAACACCCTGGCTAGGGTCAGGCACACCTTAGTCCTCAAGCTGATATCTTTGCTCTTCAACACTTTGTACCACAGATTTGCCTAGAGTAGTCACCAGAAACCAGGCGAGAGGCCCACTGGGAGTGGACACAGCCTGTTCCCAGGTTTGGACTTTTCGCCTCCAGAACTGCCAGACAATAAGTTTCTGTTTCTTTAAAGCCACCCACATGGAGTCTTTCTGTTAGGGCAACACTAAGAGGTTCAGACACCCACACATGAAAGATGAGACGAAACCAGCCCCATGACCTTACCATCTCTTCTTGTTGTTGTTGTGAAGAGCTGTTGAGTTGGTGTTCTAAGGAGCAGCTGGTAGGTTTGAACCGCTGACCTTGTGCTGTCCAGTGCTGATCTCACACGCCACACCAGGAGGTCCACTGGAGAAGGACCTCCTCTAGCCAAGGCTATTTCCCTTCCCCTCTCCCTCTGCATCCCTGTGGCCAATCTCACTGCCTTCTTCCACACCCTCAGTGGGCCCATCCATAGCCAATCACGGGGACGGGGCAAGATGTGGTCTCCTTGCATTCTGTGGTGCATGAGTCCAGGGCCTGCTGGACAACAACCACCACACACACTCTGGCTCCAAGAAATAGACATGAGTTGTGTGTTTGCTCGGCCTCGAAGCCTCTTGCTCCAGATGCACTCACCCTTCTAGCTTCATCCGAATGTCCCCTGCCCCAGAAGCATCTTCCTAGACCCTAAGAACACATCTTTATTTTCTTTTTGTCACTTAATTCATCTAAACTTTTTACTGGTTTGTTGCTGCGTTTGGTCTGCCTGTCAGCCCCCACCCAAAATATGGCTCATAGAGGACTCTGAGTCAGGGAGTGGGTGTGCCACCTGGAAGGGTCCCACATGAAGTACTGAAGGAATGAACAGGTGGCACTGATGGGTCAACTCAGGAGCTTTCATGCTGGTGGGAGCCTCCCTGTGTGCATCTCTCCCTCCCAGGGTGGGAGCAAATGGTGGGTTGACCTACTTGGGAGGGGGTGGGGGCTTTTCAGATTTCTTGCTTTCTAATTGATTTGCAAATCTCAAAGCTTAGGACCACCTTTTGGGATGGGCAGCCCCTCTGTTCATTTCTGATCTTCTTTCTCCCTTGGAATAATCTTTCCCCACTGGGCTGTTCCTCTTGTTCAGTCCTTGATGCCCTCCCCCCTAAACTAACCCTAACTCCCGCCCTTTCAGGTATAAGGCAGGCTTCTGTCCTCTGAGAAGAGGGATTGGCAAAACAGGGGTTTCTTAAACCTAAGATGCACTGTCATTGAGCCGATGCCGACTCCTAGAGACGCTGTAGGGTGAAGAAGTACCACCTAGGTTTTCTGTACCTCCTTACGGGAACACATAGCCTCATCTTTCTCCTGAGGAGTTGGTGGTGGGTTTGAACTGCTGACCCTAAGGTCTAGCAGCCTTGTTTCTTCCTTTTCTCTTTAACATTTTGTTATGAATTGAGTGAAGGTTTACAAAGCAGACCATCAGTTTTACATATACTTGGTTTCATTACGTTGATTGCTATCCCCTCCATATACCATCGGTTAACAGTCGTGATACAGGTATGCTGTGGAGTCGGTTCTGACTCATAGCAATCCTGCATAGGCTGTAAATCCGAGGCTGTAAATCTTCACGGGGGCAGAAATCTTTATGTTCTATCACAGAATGGCTGGTAGATTCGAACTGTTGACCTTGTGG